AGACACAGTAGTTAAAAAAAAATAAAATACTGAGAAGGAAAAGAAATGCTGCAGTTACACTTTAATTATGTACCTACAGTGTTTTAACCAAGGAACTGACCCTGACCTCTGTGAAAAAGAAATGGGAAGACAGCAAAATGGAACATAATGAAAACACGTAATGAATTATCTATGCATAAATTACCCTTTGAATTCCAAACAATCCACTGCTATTAAACTAAACATCCATGTCCAAGCAGATTCATGTTTACTACTCCTTAACATTCAATTTTACAAGGAAAAGCAAGGTTTGCAAAACCAGTATTTCTATGTATAAAGTGCTAAGAGATTCAATGTTAAGGGTAGTGACAAATTTCCATCTGATTTCTGTGGAGTATCAAGATCCTGCTTTTACTTTAAAAATCTTTCAGTCCTAGTCCAGAATATGAAGGGAAGCAAGGAAAAAAATATCAAATGTTACACACTGATGGCATTAGCTAGTCTTCCCTTGCTCTCAGCATCATTTTTTCCACCAAACAAAAAAAATTCCACCTTCAGAAATCACGAGAGGGTTGTCATTAGTCCCGTCTTTATTTATTCCATTAAAAACTGCCAGTGACCCAATGTTGCAGTTCTCTCTTCTACCAAAGTTCAGTTCTTGAAAGGTCAAATTAAAATTTTCAGGCTCCTGAGGGATATAGTCCTGAAAAGTTTCCCAGTACTTTTACAGTGAAATGTTTTAAGAGCATCCAAGCAAAGAATTTCCTTCCTATTAGCTCTGAACAGAGGAGCTAAAACTCCTCCATGCTGTCATTCATTTAATTCACCAAATGTGCAACTAATTTTACCTGCTTAAATCAGTGAATGGATTTACTTCAAGTGAATGGATTTGCTTCAAATGGAACAGTTTTCCTACTTGAGTGAGAAATGTAAACCAAGTCAAGTCTGAAGCCTTTAACTTCAGCTGACTAGGCTTCATAATCATAAAATATTAATCACGGTATTCTTTTTTTCTTCCTCCTTGTGAAATTGGCTGTAGTTAGAGAAGGGACACGGACCTCAGATAGGTTTGTGCTCTGATGAGAAAGCTCAGATAATTTTTTTGGATGACTAGCTACTCTTTTGCTTAAGTGCTACAGGTCATAATGATTATCAAACTCAGTGATGGGAAGGAATATATTCTAGTGAAGGCAGCAAGAGCAATAGCAGTTTCTTTCTTCCATACTAGGGAGTGGCTCAAAATTAGGCTGAAATATTAGCCTTATTAATATCATTTAACATGGCTTATTTAAATGAAGGCTTATCATGATTTGTTTTTTTTTCATGGCCCTTATATCTTTGAAATATCACAAGACAGATACCTGCACAAATCAGAATTTATTTATATAACTAATACTTCCTTTCAGAGAGAACAATGTAAATGGAGTCAAATTAGATATTAAGATGCTAGTTTTACTACTTGTGGAAAAAAGCTGTTTTATTATTTCATACTATTTTATTAATATAAACTTCTTATATTCAGTCAAATTAAGGTATGAGTAAGAAAGATAAATGGTCTCCACTGATTCGTTTTTCTTTATAAACCTATTACTCTTTTAAAAAAATTTCAGGAAAACAGTTTAAAAAAACCCAAAACACCTCTTCACATTTAAGGAAAAAGCCATACAAAAATCAAAATAATTGCCTTAATTTAAATTCTTTGACTTTTGAAATTCCAGTGAATTTCACAGAAATACTAACTTTGCTTTACAAAGTAATGTGTTCTGAATTCCTTTTAAGGTGACTGAATAAATTGGACTATAATACAAATGCATGATTATAATTCATAATTTTGAGGGGGAAAAAAATCCTCATACTCCCCATCTCAGCACTTGCAGGCAAAATAGCGTTTTCAAAAATCTCCTTAGGACACAGGAAGCACAAGCAAGGTAAAATTATTTTACTGAGACTCTACATTTAAAGAAAGACTGGTCCCTTCTCTTTTTCTTCATTTTGAGGGGTAGAGGGAGAGGTGTACATGTGTGCTTGTTTTGTTGGGCGTTTTTTCCTAATGTTTCTCCTTAATGCATTAGTCTCAATGCGGCATTGAGGTTAAGGTGGCAGATTAAGACAATTCATTTTATCCCAAAATTATTTTTTTAGATACATATTTTTTTATATATATATATATATACGCACACACATATATATACATATATATGCATATATATATATACATAAACAATGCAGAAATGTTCTCAAGAATACCTTGTTCTGGCCAGTTTTCCTTTCCCTCTGCTCCCTGTCCGTTCAATACTGGTGCTCAGGCAACAGTTGAGTGGACTCTGACCTATATTCTTTACTACTTTTCCTTACATGCTCCTGTGTCAAGACAGCTTGCAGAATTCTGCAAAAATCCTAAGAGATTTACAGAAATCCGTGCTTATTATCGACTGTTTTGTGACAGAAAAAGGGCCATTTCAGAAAACTGAATACCTCTGAAGAGTATCACAGCGGTCTTTTTCATTGTCAGTATTTCCAAAAGCCACCAAAATCAGGTTGAAGATTAAAAGCAAATGAGCATCACAACCTTCTGAAGAATGCCAAATGCAACAATGACTTGTTTAACTCAATAAACGATAATACGATCTCAGAAAATTCCTAGGAGGACTTAGACGATCTAAAATACCCTAGTAAAAGCATAAAGACAACAGTAAATATGAGGATAGTATGCACAGAGCTTGATTAATCCCCATTACAAATTAACGGATCAAGAGACAAATGAGTGCATATATTTGGTGATGCATAATAATTACTTCAGGTGAAACAAGCTGTAGAAGTCTTTAGCAACATTCCATAAAGAGAAAATAAGTATTAGCAACTAAACCGACAAAGTTCTATACCTGCATGATGAACATTAATCAGGCAGCGTGTAACTTAGAGGCCTGGCAGGTGCAGAGAAATCTGGAAGAGCACTCCAATTCCTTTGCATGATGAGCCCATGCTAAAAATATGTATCAGCACCAGCAGGCAAGAGAAGAAACTATGAAATGGCATATAAAGGAGGTGACAAGGAGGCCTCCAAGTGGGAAGAAAAATACAGACAGATGAGTTGAAAAGCACAACCACACCAAGACAAAAAAAGTCTCACATAAAAGAAATAATAACTCAAAGAACAAGAACAGCTAAGAAATTAACTCCCTTGCATAAAAAAAAGACTAAATTTTAACATGTTCTAACAGGAAAGATGATCCTTCTACCACAATCCTGGCATGGCCCAGAAGACCACAAGGGTTACAGCCCTGCTTTTGTGAACTTCCCCACAGGCTTCGGGTATGTGACTTCATGCATCCTTCCCAGACTTCACTGAGGTAAAATGGGAATATCAACACCTGTTCTTAAATCAGTTGTTTGTGAGGATAAATGCTCAAAGATTAAGGTATGCAGATACTGTTTATTTCATTTTTTTTCACCCAAGAATGCTGAAGAAGCTGGCAGAGGAGCTTGCCAAGTCACTCTCAATAATCTATCAGCAGTCCTGGTCTAGAGGGCAGGTCCCTGAGGATTGGAGGCTGGCCAACATGATGCCTCTCTCCAAAAGAGGCAGGAAGGAATACCCTAGAAACTACTGCCTGTCAGCCTGACCTCAGTGCCGGGGAAAGTCATGGAGCAGATCATTCTAAGTGAGATCACAACGCATGTGTGGGAAAATGGGGGGATCATGCGCAGTCAGCATGGCTTCATGGAGGGCAGGTCCTGCTTAACCAACCTGATCTCCTATTATAAGGTGACTTATCATAAGAGATGAGGGAAAGGCTGTGGATGTTGTCTGCTTGGACTTTTAGTAAAATATTTGACACTGTGTCCCACAGCATCCTCCTGGAGACACTGGTTGCTCATGCCCTGGACAGGTGTATTCTTTGCTGGGTTGGAAACTGACTGTAGGGCAGAGCCCAAAGACTGGTGGTAAATGGTGTCACATATAGTTGGCGACTGGTCACTAGTGGTGTCCCTCAGGGCTCAGTATTAAGGCCAGTGTTGTTTAATATCTTCATTGACGATCTGGATGTGTGTACCCTCAGTAAATTTGCTGATGACATCAAGGTGGTTGGAAGCATTGATCTGCTGAAGGACAGGGAGGCTCTGCAGAGAGATCTGGACAGTCTGGATCAACGGGCTGTGGCCAGTGATAGAAGGTTCAACAAGGCAAAGCACCATTTAGAATTTTCCCTGTGATTTCAGGAACAATAAACACCAAAGCTCATTATTAAACCTCTTGGGAAACCCAGTTTCTTCTTATTTCAGCTATGCAGCTCTCAAATTTTACTGTATTAGCTTCCAATGCAGATTATATATTTACCTCAGTTTCACTCAAAATGTAGTTTCATCAAAGTAAAAGCTATTCCTCAAACTATCAATGTAACCACTACCACCTTCAGTTTTAACAGCAATGGCCATGTCTGTTTTATTATAACTGAAGAGAGAAAAAGGATGCATTCAATCCAACTACTCTAGTGAGGTAATGCACAGGGAAATACTGCAAATATTGGCTATAGTTTTCACAGTGTATAAACATAGACATAAAATCTACTACAGGATACAGCAAAGTAATAACCTTACCACCCAAAAACAGAGGTGACATTTTAACTGAAAAAGATCATTTTAGGATTATATGGTTCAGCTGAGTTGTTATTTATTGAGATATATTACCTACAAATATCCTCTATCTTGGCATTAATACTTACAGGACTGAGTAGAAAGCAAAAACAGAGTACACAGTAGTAGCATATTTCCCCCTTAGCCTTACACTACAAACAGCACAAGAAATTCATATTCACCAACAAGGTAAAAGACTCATGCTCAAATATGTGCTTCAGTACGTGAATGGAGTGCATTTTTGGGATGGGAAAGGAACAAGGAGGAAGAGATCATGACGATGAGAACAATGCAGATTCACAGATGCAGCTGGAATGAGAAGCCTGCCTTATCATGTGTGTTGATAAAACACACTTGAGTTAGCACTGAACAGATGAAGTTCCTACCTGACAGGGAGCCGGGCCCTCTGAGCCAACAACAGTTCTGTCAGTCCACTGGGGTTCATCTCCCCATCCTGAAATGATACCTGGGATGCACCCTGTTGAGAGATTTCAAAGTGCATTTTTAGACTATTATGTATTTATGCATATATATTTTTGAGTCAATATTTGGGAGAGAAAACAAGCCATAAGTAACATCATCTCACTGACAGTGAGGACTGAAAGACTCTTTCTGTATGCAATGTACATGACACAGCATTTGGAGAAACAGGAGGGGATCTAAAGTCCTGCTCTTCACACCAGAGTCCCACCATGCTTCCACTGCAGAAGTTCACAGTACTGCTTCCTTACCTGTCTGTCTAACCTGAATCTCACTCTTTCCCATACTAGGCCGCCTTCCTTCTGCAACAGACTCCACAGACCATCGGTAAACCCAAGCACTTTTCCCCCTCCTCTTTCTATCCCTTAGAAGCATTTATCTGGTAAAGACATATTTTCACAGTTACTTCACAGAAAAAAAAAGTAACAAGTTGGCCAGACACAAAAATACAGTTCACACAGGGACCTGGCATTAATGCTAAAGCTCTTGAAAACCATTTTTTGGCTTTCTTTTTGTGATCCTTAGACTCTCAATGTTTGCATTTTTTTTTCTGGGAGAGGGAAAGAGGTACCAATGAGATAAGACCACTGTCAGCAGGTGATATATTAGCTTTAACATACTGTACTTCGTTACAACCCTTATGGCAATAATGTAAACAGAGCAAAATCCGTAACAGAGACCTTCTTTGGAGAGGTCACTTCTGTCAACTCCACAACAGGAGTATAGCTGGAAGACATAAATCTTCAGCTGTCAACACACCAAGAGAATTCAATTCAGAGCTTGATCTTAACCAGATAAAGCATAAAGTTAGTAATTATTTTTTGTTGTTGTTGCAGTGGTACAGTTTTCCAGTGTATATACTCGCCATATCAAGTTGTCTCAAGGCAGAAGGTTGCAATGTTATAAATTAATTCCAAAGAACAAAGCCAGCTAGATAGGTAATTTAATTTTCAATAGAAGCTCTACACTGTATATTAAAACTTCCAATGTCTCTCGAAAGGTGGCTCTACTCAGAAAGATGGCTTTAAAGGTTTGGTGCTTTCAGTCCTTCAAAGATCTGCAGAACTCATTTTCAGTTTATAAGAATCAAGAGAGTTGCAGGCCAGAGTGGGTTGGTTTGAGTTCTAAAAAAAGAATCATGACCAACCTCACAAGCAAACCCTTACAACATAAGTCAAACTGGATCCCCTTTTGGTTCACACACTGCTTTTGAGCCCACAGTATTGGTATGGGTCTCTTTGTATGTTAATCGGAGCACAAGCCAACAGACTTGGCTTCCACTGCAAGCCAAATATAGCTCACTGAAAACGAACTGATGTCACTAATGGAAGAACTATTCTAAGAAACGTACACTGAGTATGTGCCATCTCTTCCAATCACTTTTCACAGTGGAACCACATGTCAAGGAACAATTCTTGTTACATGAAGCATATTCCATACTAACCTCATAAATCAGGAACTCAACCTCAAGTAAAAACCTCAATCTCTTGTTCATATTTTACAGACTGATTGTCAGATTTTCAATAGCAGAAGGATTAATGACCCTGACTCCCAAAACTTGACTCAAATTCAGCTGACAGTGTAATAGATTTACAGTGACAGTATTGCAGTTTTCACTTAGGAAACAGGAATAAAAAACAAAATGGTGTGGTAAAAACAAAAGCCAATGAAGCACATGCATCTAAGAACACTGGAAGTTTTAAAATTTATTTACATAGGGATATTTTGAATTAGTCAACTTTCCTCAGTCCTGTGAAAAGCACGTTCTTCAAATTAGGATTGAAGCATAAGAGAAGGGATCCCATTAAGTAATAGCCCTCTGCAAACACCTGTAAACAAAACACTTTGAATAGTCTTATATTCATTATGTGACAGCTCTTAAATTAGGTAAACATGTGTGTAACAGTGGAAAGAGCGAAGAGTACATACCAGTCACATTTTCTACTCTGTGAACATGCACAGTCTTCTCAGTTCAACAGTCAGTATGGATATATATTAGCTCCAACAATAAATATGCTGGATTCAGAATCAACTAGGTTGGAAAAGACCTTTATGATCAAGTCCAACTGTTACCCCAGGACTATGAAAGTTTCTGTCTAGAAAAAGAGACAGAGAGAGACAGAACTCACTGAAAATGGTCAAATCAACTGTTCTCATTTGAAACAAAGGGTGCGGCCTTGAGCAGGTAACACAGCAGATGGCTGCACTGACAGCCAGGTTACTGACCAGCCCCTTGTTCTGTTTTCTCACTATCATCACAACCTAGAACCCCTGGATTTTCATATTAAATAAAAAAAAACCTGCACCAGATCCGTTTTCTAACTAAGCTCTGGTTCTAGTGTTGTTTTGCGCTACATTTTAGCTAAAAAAAAGATAAATTTTTTGTTGAGGGGGTTCTGCAGCAAAAGTTTGCACATTCACCCAAGAGTGGACAATACCATCCAGTCCAGTAGAGAGCTTTAGAAATATTCATGGGCCACCAAGTGGCCCTAAAAGGCCCTTGTAGGCTCAGAATACTATTCTTAAGACTTCTTGTAAGCTTGCAGGAAGTATAAATTTGCAAATATATCACTTCTTAGAAAAGCTATGTTGCAAAAAAATCCTCTTGTACTTGGAAAAAGAATTCTCATTGAACAATAACATACGAGGCTAATCTCAGACAAATTTACACATAGGAAGTCTACATAAACAATCGAAGAAAATCCTGAGCGCAGGGTATACTTGGAGTATAAAATAGTCAAACGATAACAATAAACTTCAAGGAAATAAATAAGATCTATTAATAGAAGAAATACACATGGAATCTATTCAAATTAGGAATGGAGCAGTCCAGTACACCCAAGGGAAAGTATCTTTATCCGAAACTTTCCTTTAATGACAAAGTTAAAAGTGAAAATATATGTCTGAAGTTCCAGTTTACAGTATTGCCTTCCCCGAGGGCATTAGCTTTTTAAAACAAAGGAAATGCATCCAAACCCTAAAGCAGAAGGTCACAGAGCAGGGTGGCAGGCTGCAGAGTTCACTCTCCCTACGTGGCCAACAGTAAACCTTCTTCCAAGAAGGTTCAGTGGGAGTTCAGATCCTACCAACATAACAAACAGTCGGATGCAAGGAAACCTGGGAAGGCGGAAAGGAATGCTTCGTTTACAAATGCAGGAAATGTCTCATCTTGCTCTCACAACAGACAATTTTAATTACTATATTTTAAAATTGAACATTTTTAGCAACACTTTCAGGATCATGTGAGCATTTCTGACAGCCAGAGTGAGTTTAAAAAGCCACAGCACTATTTTTAGCTTTCATGAATATTCCCAAACCGATTAGTCCATGTTACAAAGTAAAAGCGTTTACCTTTAGTTACAGCAACAAATGCAACACAAATGCAACTGACACTGCCTACAGAAGATGATCCCCAGGACCATATAGCTCAAGGAATGCACATTATGGCCATTTTTCATTCAGTAATAATATAACCAAGTATGAGTCAAAATATGATAGCTCTATTTGAGTCAAAGTTTCATGCATCCTGATGTAACGTCCAGCAGTTGGATACAGTGCTGTTCCCAAGTTCTAGCCTATTGTACATGACTGTTCCTCAGAAAGGCTTCTCCATGGGTTACTTTGGTCTGCTGGGACAAAAGGTAAGTTGCCTGTGTCTGTGTGTTTCTGAAATAGCTAAGAAACTTTGTCTGACCACAATAACCAGTAATCCATCATTACAACACTCCCGTCACCCTCAAACTGTAAAAAAAAAAGAATGCAGCAAATCACAAGTCTGAAAAGTGTTTTATACTAAAAACTGGTTCCTAGATTTCCTCATTTGGCCTTAAATCTGCAGTGGGCCTAATCAAAGATGTGACCTTAAAATCCTACATTAGGAAAAGTTATTTTATTACTATTACTTACAAAGTACAGAGTCAGGTTATCACAAGGTCAGGGAATACTTTGACAAGTGAAATACATTACAAGTTATCAGTTAGCTGAAACCTGGTTTTAGAACACCTCTGCAGAAGAAATAATTTTCTGAGGAAAAGCATTAAAAGCAGAGGCTCTGAACAGGTTAAGCACTACACACCGAAAATACCAACACAAAAGTCAAAGTCATTAAAATATTAGATATGAAAACAAAGTTGGTGTCAATATATGGTTTCATCTGCTTAGCTAACCTTTCATTACCAAGCTAATACCAGACTATCTTCATGCCCACACAGCTTTACCACTTCCTGAAACATATTTCAGAATGGTTCAATATTGCAAAAGCATGCATAATAATTCCTCAAAAAAATGTTCAGATTAATCTTATTTAACATACAACTTTCCTTTTTTTTATTATTCAAAATAAGCATAACAAAATATCAAATATCTTTTTAAAACCAAGTAATAATAGAAAATGGAGTAAATTGCTCAGTATGCTTCTAAACATTACAGAACATGTCTGAAAGAGAAGATGCTGATCAACAGACATGCAAGCTCTCATACTTAAACAAGTGTATTTATAACCACAACTTATTTATCTCAATTAAAAAATTCCTAACCATCTAACATCCCCACAGTATTGCTATCACCAATATATCAAGGATGAAAGCCAATGCAAAACAGGCTAATAAAACGCTGCTAAACTGAAAGAAAAAAATATTACTGTTTGTTACTGCGTATTTCTTATTTTTCCAGCAGTCTGCTTGATTTAAATCACTCTGCCTCCAGAAAACGTGGTAAGTATTTTTAAACAGCTTACAATATACTTCATTTCACTTACTTATTAAACTACATCATCCTCTCAGCTATTCAGAATGAAATCCATTTGAAATGGATAATTGATGCAATTGTGAAGTATCTACAAATGCAATTAATCACTTGCTAAAGATGACTTTTGGGTAGGTTTAAATACGAAAATAAAAACCATGCAACCTTCTCTCAAGGTTGTCAGTTGAAATGGACAAATTCTACTGGACTGGCAAAAGATACTTTTGAATACAAGAATAGCTGTACATCTTCAGA